ATCTACATTACATACAATAAATATGCATTTAAGCAATATATACATTACATACAATAAATATGCATTTAAACAATGTATATATATACATTGCTCTAGAGATCTGTACACTTTAAAAACAATGTGCTTAAGCAGAAAGTATGTTAGTTGAATACATTAATAATTGAGGTATTCTTGTAAAGAATGATTCTGACCTTTAACAGTGAATATGTCAAAGAGCACAAACACAGTGATGAACATTTTGTGTTATTGTTTTTCTTCACAGTTGAAACAGGCAGATGCCGACAGTACCTCACCTAGTACAGCTAATCTGTACGTGTCCCAGTTCCAAGCACCCAGATTTGAAGACCCCAGTGAACCCATCTACACAGACCCATCTCTGTTCGAACGGTCACGCAGTTTGAGTAGCATGACCATATCAAACTTGGACAACATGAAACCCAAGACGGACCTCGATTCCTGAATTCCATTTCTACCGGAAATCTTTTATGTGTGCTAAAAAATGCACTATATCTTGATCTGCTTATTCACCAAATTCTTCTGGAAGCTGTGACATGTTGTACTTGCTGTCATTTTTATTCATCAACCACAACTGTGTGCAGTCTCGCCTGTTATAAGTTACAAATATGTGTGCGTCCCTTATAATCATATTTTGTCCAAAGAAAAAATAACTTCACACTTATTATAATCACTGATTCACTTTTACTGCTGTCTCTTCTTACTTGAAATCATCCATTTTAATAGGGGTTGTCTTTGATATAATCTAGCAGATATTACAACTCCCAGGGGTTTTTAATGTTGTTGTGGATTGTAAACAATAACGGCTATTTTCATGCACTAAGAAGAAATAACTTTCGTTTACTAAAAAAACTTTGTATTCAAAACTCCTAAATTATGCACAAGAATTGCACAACCGCAAACAGTATTTGAAATTTTTATTAGTCTATAATTATGTTTAATGAAACTTATGCTCACTTTCACATATATTGTCTAAATAAGTTAACTACACACATTTCTTGTTTCTGTACTTTAGTAAACACATATAGATTGTCTAAATAAGTTAACTACACACATTTCTTGTTTCTGTACTTTAGTAAACACATATAGATTGTCTAAATAAGTTAACTACACACATTTCTTGTTTCTGTACTTTAGTAAACACATATAGAT